GTTGCTGCTTGATGTAGGTTGCTAAGCCTTTTAAAATTTTGCCCGTTTAGGATATGAAACTAAATAATTTTTTTTGGTTTTATATATAGATTTAAATAACTAAAAAAATCATAAATCACTACATCAATACCATGGATTTCCACTATAATTTATCAAGCTTAGTAACTAAGATGTATTTGGATCTAAAAAAATATGATATTTTGAACAGACTAAAGACACAATCTACCTCCTTGAAACCTTGGTTCGAAAGAACAAGATGGCATCCTAACACATGAAAATGGCTGAGAAAGACACTAAGGGGACATTCTGAGCTTATTGCTTATTCACATGTCATATACTGAAGTAAGTATATGTAAGGGACCATTTCTAAAAATGGAAAGAGGTGAGTGGGGCCTCTGTATTTGACTCAGTATGAGTGATATTTCAGCAAATAACAAAGATACGAGGTTCTTATTTTATATTCTAGCTTTTCAATATCGTTAATTTGAGTTTCTAATTTGTACAAAACTATAGACTTAATATTTTGACTTCACAAACATCTAATCTGAACCAATGCCCCATTCAACATACAACGTGACACACAAAAATCGATGTTTAACTGTGTTTTTTTAATATTTACTTTTAAATTAAGAAATTAAATAATAATATATAATACTAAAATTTAATTATAACCTACAGTTTGATACCAAACTTATTGATATAAATTCATGAAATAGTAGTTCAATGAATGCGAGTCAACAAATAAGATGACATGGCCTTTCACCCGTGACCCGTCTCAAAAGGGTTAATACACTATACCTATTAACTGTTGCTGACCATGATGTCTTCCGTGAGGCTGATTTAAAATTTCTTTGAAACTCAATTGACAAGCTGCTACAGTAATATAATCTGTTCCAACAGTCTTCTGTAGCTCCAAGGTAATGGTTTCCTGGAGATAAAAAAGTAGCTTGTAACTAGAGTAGAGAAACATTAGGTGTAATATCACTTACGTTGATACTAGAAAATACAGTTTAATATCTCTAGCATTAACACACGTTTTGTTAGAAAAACACAACTATGACACTTACAGTTTCTAGATATCATTACTATTGTTAATATCCAACAACTAAACTTGCCTCACACATCTGGTCTTTACAATTTATAAAATAAACTGTTAAGTCAATTGTTTAAAATATGATAAACAACAGAATTCTAACCATAACACAACTTCAGGAAAAGCAATAATCCTCAGGCAAAGATTGTAACAGTAAATAGTACAAATAAAAAGATTCAACAGAACAACGATTTACCTATCTATAAGATTTTACTACTGACATAACATTTTTCATAACAAGAGCATTATATCACCTAAGACAAAGAACATTCTAATGACACTCAATACTATCTTTAAGTGATCATCCACTAACATGACAAAAAGTTCACCCAAAAAGACCAGTATAATTACATATAAAAACAAATTATGCACTCCATGAAATGTAGAACAATAAATTAGGAGACTGGATAAAAAAACTAGTGTGGTTAGAAAATGTTATCACTCTTACCTTGTGAAGATAATGAAGAAAAAAATCATCTACCCGAACAATGTACTGTGAAGTGTGGTTGAACTTCTGTCTAACATAATAAAACATTATTAATATAACACATGACAAAGAATGTACTGTGAAGTGTGGTTGAACTTCTGTCTAACATAATAAAACATTATTAATATAACACATAACACAGATTGTACTGTGAAGTGTGGTTGAACTCCTGTCTAACATAACATTATTAATATAACACATGACACAGAATGTACTGTGAAGTGTGGTTGAACTCCTGTCTAACATAATAAAACATTATTAATATAACACATGACAAAGAATGTACTGTGAAGTGTGGTTGAACTCCTGTCTAACATAATAAAACATTATTAATATAACACATGACAAAG